CCCCAAAACCCCAAAACCCCAAAACCCCAAAACCCCAAAACCCCAAAACCCCGTAAATAATATAAATTATTGGAGGTTTACTAAAAATTTGGAATTAGATAAGAATAGGGGAATATTTTTTATCACAGGATCTCAGTAATTATTCATTAAATGGCTTCCAATCGTCTTCAAAGACTGGGATAGAGTTCTGTTGATTGATACCACAGACACCATGTCTGTCACTATTCTTGGCAATTCTGACGTATCCATGCTCTCCCCAGTCTGGTCCCCAAGAGTTCTTGACAATCCATGAGGTTGTCTCTTCTTCAAATCCGACAAGGAGGACAGCATGATCGATTTCGTATCCGCAGCCATCTCCGTCAATAACACCACCTCCATAGTGTCTGAAGTCATCATTCTCAGCTCTGATTGAGATAGAAACTGGCATATGAACAAGAGCGTCATACAAAAGGGCATCTCCGACATCAACTCTGAAAGCAGATTTGAGGAGTCTGTTGTTGGATGGGATAGTCTCTTCCTGGCATTTTCTATCTTTTGGCTCATATGGGTAATCTTCTTCAAGAATGAATGGGTGCTTCATCCAGTGAGCGAAAGCATTTTCCTGAAGTCCTCCATTACATCCGTGGGAGAAGAAATCACAATCGACGGCGTGGCTTCTTGAGACATCAACAACCTCTCCGTAGGCCTTGAAGTAAGATCCGGCTAAAGTCTGAGCAGCAGAGAAGGCCCAGCATGATCCACATTTTCCTTGGTTGAGGACTGGTCCTACATATCCATCAACTTCTCTCCAGTCGATAGCCTTAGGCTGGTCGTTCTTTGGGAGTTGAATAGTTGGCAAGTGAGAGTTGCTGTTTCTCATTCCCCTAAGTCCCAAAAGTCTTTGGTACTCTTCATCAGTCCAGTCAGAAAACTCATTGAGAGCGTATGTCCATGAGAGTCCCTTGGCATTATGTTCTTCTACCTTCTTGAGAGATTGCTCGAAGATTCCCTTTCTGAAGTTGTACTCTTCGGTAGAGGCGAAGTTTCTTCCGTGTTCACCAATGAATGATTGGAAAGCAACATCATTTGGGCTTGTTGGGGAAGCAGTGAGGAACACCAAAGCCAATGAGGCAGCGGCAAATGCTAAGATAGCAGCTGTTTTCATTATTAAAAACAAAAATATTATATACTCTTATTAATTATAGGGGTTTTGGGGTTTTGGGGTTTTGGGGTTTTGGGGTTTTGGGGTTT